TATCATATATTAATTGACCATATATGCTTGGGTTTATATCTGGGCTGTCTAATCTGTTCCATTCATCTATGGGTCTGTTTTTGTGCCAGTACCAAATTGTCTTGATTACCATGGCTTCATAGTAGATCTTGAAGTTGGAAAGCGAGATCCCCCTAGACTTATTCTTTCTTCTCAGGATTGTTTTGGCTTTCAGGGTATTTTGTGGTTCTATATGAATTTTAGAACTATTTGCTTTAGTTCATTGAAGAATGCCATTGTTATTTTGATAGGGATTGCCTTGAATCTGTAGATTGTTTTAGGCAGGATGGCCATTTTGACAATATTAATTCTTCCTATCCATGAGCACAGGATGTATTTCCATTTATTGGCGTCTTCTTTAATTTCTCTCATGAGTGTCTTGAACTTTTCAGGGTATAGGTCTTTCACTTCCTTGGTTAGGTTTATGCCTAGGTATTTTATTCTTTTTGGTACAATTGTGAATGAAATTGTTTTCTTGATTTCTCTTTCTGCTAGTTCATCATTAACATATAGGAATGCAACAGATTTCTGTGTTTTAATATTCTGTCCTGCATATTTCTTGAATTCAGTTATTAATTCTAGTAGTTTTGGATTGGATTCTTTAGGGTTTTTTACTTATAATATCATGTCAGCTGCAAACAGTGACAGTTTAACTTCTTCCTTGCCAATATGGATGCCTTTTACCTCTTTGTTTTGTCTGGTTGCCATGTCTAGGACCTCTGGCACTATCTTGAATAAAAGTGGGGAGAGTGCACATCCTTTGTCTTGTACCCGATCTTAAAGGAAAAGCTTTCAGCTTCTCACTGTTAAGTATGATGTTGACTGTGGGTTTGTCATATATAGCCTTTAATATGTTGAGTTACTAGCTTTCTATACCCATTTTGCTGAGAGTTTTTATCATGAATAGATGTTGAATTTTGTTGAATGCTTTTTCAGCATCTATTGAGATGATCATGTGGTTTTTGTTCTTTTTGTTGATGTTGTATATGATGTTGATGGATTTGTGAATATTGAACCATCCTTGCATCTCTGGAATAAATTCTACTTGATCATGATGGATGATCTTTTTAATGTATTTTTTTAATTTGGTTTGCTAATATTTTGTTGGGTATTTTTGCATCTATGTTCATCAGGGATACTGGTCTGAAATATTCTTTTTTTGTGGTATCTTTGCCTAATTTTGTATTAGAGTGATGCTGACCTCATAGAATGAGTTTGGAAGTATTCCATCCTCCTCTACTTTTTAGAAAACTTAAAGGAGTATGAGTATTAGATCTTCACTAAATGTTTGATAAAATTCAGCAGTGAAACCACCTGTTCCAGGGGTTTTGTTGTTACGTAGTTTTTTGATTACCAGTTCAGTTTCATTGCTGGTAATTGGTCTGTTTAGATTTTCTTTTTCTTCCTGGGTCAGCCTTGGAAAGTTGTATTTTTCTAGAATGTTGGCCATTTCTTCTAGGTTGTCCAGTTTGTCAGCATATAATTTTTCATAGTATTCTCTCATAATTCTTTGTATTTCTGTGGTGTCTGTAGTGACTTTTCCTTTCTCATTTCTGATTCTGTGTATATTTTTAGACTCCCTTTCTTTCTTGATAAGTCTGTTTTGGAGTTTACCTATTTTGTGTATTTTCTCAAAGAACCAGCTCCTTCTTTCATTGATTCTTTCTATTGTTTTATGCTTCTCAATTTTATTTATTTCTGCTCTAATCTTTACTATGTCTTTCCTTCTACTGACCTTGGGCCTCAGTTGTTCTTCCTTTTCTAGTTTCATTAATTGTGAGTTCAGACTGTTTATATGGGACTGTTCTTTTTTCCTGAGGTAAGCCTTTATTAACAATATACTTAGCTCTTAGCACTACCTTTGCTGCATCCCACAGATTTTGTGGTGTTGAGTTATTTTTGTCATTTGTCTCCATATATTGCTTGATCTCTGTTTTTATTTGGTCATTGATCCATTGATTATTGAGGAGCATGTTGTTAAGCCTCCATGTGTTTGGGGGCTTTTTTGTTTTCTTTGCATAATTTATGTCTAGTTTCATACCTTTGTGGTCTGAGAAGCTGTTTGGTGCAATTTCTATCCTTCTGAATTTATGGAGGCTCTTTCTGTGGTCTTGTATGTGGTCTATTCTGGCATATGTTCTATGTGTATCCTGCTGCTTTTAGGTAGAGTGTTCTGTAGATGTCTGTTAGGTCCATCTGGTCTAATGTGTTGTTCAGTGCCTCTATCTCTTTACTTATTTTCTGTCTGGTTGATCTGTCCTTTGCAGTGAGTGGTGTGTTGCAATCTCCTAAAATGAATGCACTGCATTCTATTTACCCTTTGAATTTTGGGAGTAGTTGTTTCACATATGTTGGTGCTTCTGTGTTGAATGCATATATATTTATAATGGTTATATCCTCTTGTTGGATTGACCCCTTTATCATTATGTCATGTCCTACTTTGTCTCTTGTTACTTTCTGTTTTTGAAGTCTATTTTGTGTTATACAACTACTGCATCCTGCTTTTTTCTCGGTGTTAGTTGCATGAAAGATCTTTTTCCATTCCTTCACTTTTAGTCTGTGTATGACTTTGGGTTTGAATTGAGTCTCTTGTAGGTAACGTATAGATGGGTCTTGTTTTTGATCCACTCAGTTACTCTATGTCTTTTGACTAATGCATTCAGGCCCTTTGCATTTAGGTTAATTATTGATGGGTATGTACTTATTGCCATTGCGTGCTTCAGATTCATGGCTACCAAAGGTTCAAGGGTAACTTCCTTACTGTCTAACAGTCTAATTTAACTCACTTAGTATACTATTACAAACACAATCTAAAACTTATATTTCTTTTCCTCCTCCATTCTTTATATATTAGATATCGTATTTTGTATTCTTTGTCTATCTCTTGGCTGACTTTGTGTGTGGTTTATTTGATTTTGCATCTGCTTAGTAATTAATTATTATACTTTCTTTACTATAGTTTTATTTCTTCTGGTGATAGCTATTTAACCTTAGGAATACCTCCATCTTTAGCAGTCCCTCTAAAATACACTGTAGACATGGTTTGTGGAGGGGGGAATTCTCTCAGCTTTTGCTTTTCTGGAAATTGTTTAATCCCTCCTTCAAATTTAAATCATAATCTTGTTGGACAGAGTATTCTTGTTTTGAGGCCCTTTTGTTTCATTGCATTAGATATATCATGCCACTCCCTCCTGGCCTGTGAGGTTTCTGTTGAGAAGTCTGACAATAGCCTGATGTGTTTTCCTTTGTGTGTGATCCTTTTTCTCTTGCTGCTTTTAATATTCTGTCCTTATCCTTGATCTTTGCCATTTTAATCATTATATGTCATGGTGTTGTCTTCCTTGGGTCCCTTGTTTTGGGAGATCTATGCACCTTTATGGCCTGAGAGACTATCTCCTTCCCCATATTGGGGAAATTCTCGGCAGTTACCTCCTCAAAGACACTCTCTGCCCCTTTTTACTCTTCTTCTTCTGTTACCCCTATAATGTGAATATTGTTCATTTGGATTGGTCACACAGTTCTCTCAATATTATTTCACTACTAGAGATTCTTTTTTCACTCTTTGCCTCAGCTTCTTTGTATTCCTGTTCTCTAATTTTTATTTCATTTACTGTCTCCTCTACTTCATCTAATCTGCTTTTAAATCCCCTCATTGTATGTTTCATTTCAGATACTTTATTCTTGAAGGTTTGTATCTCATTCCTGAATTCCTCCTTGATTTCTTGAATATTTTTCTGTAGCTCCATGAACACATTTATGATTTTTATTTTGAAATCTCCTTTAGGAAGATTGATGAGCTCAGTTTCACTTGGCCTTCTTTCTGGTGTTTGTGGGATTTGAGTTTGAATCAAATTCCTTTGACGTTTCATATTTGTAAGTGGTGCCGTCTAGTGCCCAGTAGCTCTACTCTCTGGAGCTGCTGTGTCCCTGGAGCAATGGCCAGGGTCACAGAAGAGTGGCACAGGTGCCTGTCAGGAGGAAAAAGGTCTTTTCTGCTTCCCAACTGCAGTGCCTGTCTCCACTGCCAGTGCCAGTGGGCCAAGCATGCAGAGAGAAGCCTCTATGCTTTGCACTTGTAATTGCCATAGACAGAGCTACCCTCTGGAAGGCCTGGTACAATGGCAGGGTCAGCAGGTTTGTGAGCTGGTGCCAGCCAGGAGGAAGGTGCAGTAGGCTCTGTATCATGGTGGGGAGCCTTGGAGCTGAGTAGCCAGCCAGGGGGATGGAACGCCTGAAGCTCCTAAAAGTTTCCAACCTCCTGGGCAAAGTGCACCTGACAATTTTGTCTACCTATCCTTTCTCCTGAGCAGCAAGCTCTGTGAAATCCTTGCCCCTTTAGCAGCCCTCTCTCTGTTAGAAAGTCTCTCAGACTGCCCACATTTCTTTTGTCCCAGAATGTCCAGATGTGTATCCCTGTTTTCCACAAGTGGGTAGAATCTCAATCTCTCCACGAATTCCATTTGTCTTAGTTTTCCAACCCCACTAATCTCCAGAGCACCACGTAAAGTAGGTTCATGCTTCCAGAGCAGATCTGCAGGGCTGGTGTCAGCAGTCCTATGCCTCCACCTCTTCTGTGTTCTGTTTCTCTTCCTCCCTCTGCTGAGCTTGGGCAGGATAAGGTCTTGGGTCCCTCCAGATCGCAGCTTTGGTATGTTACCCTTTCCTTGAGGTTTGCTGGTTTCCCCAGGTGTAGGCAGTCTGCCACAGCCTACTTTCCTACTTCTCTTTCAGGATTTAATACATTTGTTATATTTTCATATTACATGTGGTTTTGGGAGGAGGTTTCTGTTTCACCTCTCATGCCATCATCTTTAATCCCATCAAACTCTTAGCCATTTTAAAGACACTTTTTTTGTTTCCTGACATTTCTATAGAAGTTAACCAGTCTGTGATGATAGTGTCTTTCTCTCCTTTTTAACTTGCTGTCTGACACCCGCCCTGCCCCTCCGGATGGCTCTCTCATGTCCCTGCCCTCCCTCCAGCATGGGGGAGTGCGAAGCACTCTGCACCCGGCTTGCCATCATGGTCAACGGCAGCTTCCGATGCCTTGGCTCTCCTCAGCACATTAAAAACAGGTACGTTGCATTTCTCTTCTTTAAATGTCTATCATAATCAATAAAGTGATGCAGTTAGAACTGGAGATATTTAGAGACGCCTGGGTCCAGTAGCCTCATGGCTCAGGAAAGGAGACAGAGGTCCTGAGAAGGTAAAGGGGTGCATGAGGGCCACTGTGGCCACCCTCTGCCCAGGGAGCCCTGCACTGTCCCCACAGTGTATGGTGCTCCAGGAGGACAGCACTCACTGTGAGGGTGAGGAAAGGACAAACTGTCCTTACTGATGCAAAATACCTTATAAGCAGATTGTACCAATATATCCCTCATCCAGAGCGAATCAGGCTGCCTGTGTTATCATTTGAAATGCTGTTTTTTTTAAAAGATTGCCATGGACTTAAGAGGGTAAAAGAGGCTTTCTGTGGTTCTTTTCTGTGTTGACTATTAAAGAATAAAGACTTTTCCTATATGCATAACCCTTTAGATTTATCCCTGGTTAACTCTCCTATTATGTCTTTTTACCATTTACATTTTGTAATCTTAATAGCTTTACCATTAATTTTCATGAACATTTTTATGAACAAAAAGTTATAACTTTTCACAGATTCTATGTTGCCTGAGCTGTTTCCAAAGTTGCTGGTTTCCTTTTAATTTGTTTAATCTGTCATTTTTTCATATAGTCGTCTATTAATATATGTTGGTAAATCCCTTTTCATTTTCATTCAGTGTTTTTAAAGTTAAGAGTTCACAAGTGGAGATTTGTTAGTTATATATATATTTGGTTGAAATATTTTTATTTACAGAGAATATAACTATGGAATGCTTGGCTAGCGATGCCATACTAGGGAGTAAGCATCAATTTTGTAGGCTTCGAGTCAGGTGCTGATGAAGGCCCACCTCATTGCCTCTTGCTGCTTAGGGTCAATCACCTGTCAGATAAACCTTCTGGAAACAGTTCTTGAGATGTACTCTGCTCACCATTAATAAGTATCATCAAAAGAAAAATAATATTTCACACTCCCTAACCTTTATGAATGCTTACATAAAGTTTTATAGCCCATGCCTGATTGTCAGGTGATTCATGTTTGACTGTAGCTGCTAGACAGTCACGAGGTGTGCTCAGGTTGGGTGCCAGAGCCAGCAGTCAAAGTGTGCAGAATTCCTCTCCAACTGGTATGGTCTCTAGTCTCTCCTCCTCCTCCTGGTTTTAATTCTCACAATGTGTAGGTTTGGGGACAGATTGTTAGTAGCTATGAACTACAGTCATGTTAAGCAATAAATAGCCTGTGGGTTATTCATTGAAACATTGAACCTATTACATCTGAAGAAATAACTTGTAAAGTTGGTATTTTCCTGTAACAAGTAAACCAACTACATATGTTTGTGTATGGAGATAAAGAATACTGGACTGGTCATGACTTGGAATCCAGCATCTAAAACCGGTTGTGCTGAGCGTCAGTGTCCACCCTCTCCCAGTGACAACAGCATGGGCACCAAGTGGGTGACTGCTCTCAGCCTGTTCTCTCCATACCCTTCTTTCCAGGAGCTTGTGCCCTGATGACATTAAAGCATCCATCGCACATACTCTGTGGCTGCACACCTTTGTAACCCTGACTCAGCCAGCAATCTTGTTATTGGGATAAAAGAAAGGTCCTACTGGGGTCTGACCACATCTCTATGTGTTGTGACTGTGAGGGGGGCTTTGGAGTTTCGATTTGGACTTGTTAGGTGGAGGGCCAGGGGTGCTGTGTGTGAGGCCCGTGGGCCCCTGCAGGGGGATACTCAGCAGAGACAGGCCGGTCTGGCTCCCTTGCTCCTGTTACAGAGTTCTCTGTCTGAGACCCAGCTGCCCAGTGGGTCGTCCTGAGGACCTGAGGGGCATGGTGCCCTCAGAGGGGGCCTCACTCACACCATGCTTTCCTGTTGGCTCCTGTCACTCTTGCCAAACTTGTCCCAGTGTGTCATACCTCCAAGGAGCAGGGAGAGTAAGGAGGCCAGTGGGTCACAGAGGAGCTTCTGCAGTTGTAGTGAAAAAAATCAAACAGCCAGAATGGGTGTTCCTGTGGGGTGAGCTGAGTAGCCTGCTGAGGGTGTGAGCAAGGTGGTGCCAGGACACCAGGGACCTGGACAGGAGGGTAAAGATGGCCTTGGTGATTTGGGATTTAGAAGACCTGGAGAGTGAGGAGGGCGCAGGGGGCAGAGCATGGGGAGGGAGGGCTGGGAGGGCCTTCGGGAAGCACAGGAGGGCCTGGGTTTGGGGTAGGGGTGCCATTGAGGGGCTTCCCGTAGGGGAGCTGAGACCCCACAGGGCCAGGTGCCCTCCCCAGGCCACAGACACCTGCCCTGACCGGCCCCTGCTGGATCACCACCACCTGATGACTGTGTCCCCATTGGCCCATGGCTTCCCTCCCTGTGGCCTTCTCTGGCCTTCCCAGCACTCAGCATTTCCTTCCCTTTGCCTGCATTTCCTCTTCATAGCAACAACCTGTTTCTCTTCTTTGGCATGTAATTGCATTCTCCCCACCAAAAGGTCTGCCTGTGCAATGTTGATTTCCCTAGGGCCACCTTGTTCTCAGTCGCCCTCATGCTTCCAGAAAGCAGGGCCTTTGTTCTTTATCAGTCCCATGTGGCCCTGTGCTCGGCCTTGTGCCACCTCAGAGGTGCCATCTGGGGGCAGTGACAGCCAGGCCTGAGTGCCATGGCCTGGGAAAATCAGAACCACACCAGGAGGACATGCTTGGCCCTAAAGGGTTAGGTTTTGATGCTTCCGGAAGGAGAATGTTTCCAGACTAAATTCACTCATTTGTGGACTTGATGTCCTCTTTTCTTCTCAAGTTCTAGAACTCTTGTTATCCCTTCTTAAATGTCTATCATATTTGATACCTCTAAATAGCTAAACACTGTGTTAACCTTACAGTTGGTATCCCAACATATTTTTTAAAGGTTATTTGTGTTCATAAAATCCAACCAAGCCTAAGTATAGTAATCATGGTCATACATGTGTGTGTGGGTATGCGTATGTGTAAATGCGTGTATGCATACATGTGTATGTGCATGTGCATGAAAGTGCCTGTGTGTGCGCACAGAGGAGAGGTGGAGTAGAGTGGAAGCCGCCTGGTGGACGGGGACGGCTAGCACCCCCGTCCCTGGGCACCGATGCTTTGTCCTCAGCATGAGGGGCTTATCCCCAGGCCTCTGCATGTCATAACTGGAGCCTTGACAGCAGCCTTCTCACCCCCAGACTGTGGCCACATTCATGCTTAAGGGCCAAATGTTCCTCCTGTTTGCTTTTCGCTCCCTTGGGACTGACGTAAGCAGAAAGTTTAAGCCGAGTGTTAAAGCAGCCTCTCCCAGGGAGGGAAAGAAATGCCACTTCCAAAGCATGGAGTTTGGAGTTAAAAGTACACTAGGGTAACATCAGTGGGCAGGGAGGACAGGGCTGTTTGTATATAAAACAGCAAAGCTTTAAATGGTATAAAGAAAAACCTAAGACTATGAGAACTCTCATTTTCTTGAGTTGTCCAACACAAAAACTTTTGGAATCACAAATAAAAATGGAGTAGACATCAAAGAATTCTGTGATTGATTTGTTATCTAGCCATTCTCCTTAGAATACAAAGTGTAGTCCAGTGATGTGTTGGTAGATTCTACTCTAAGTAATGACAGCAGGTGTAAGGATGTTTGCACTCCCAAGTTAGGACTCTCTGGGTAGCTGCAAATTAACATAGCGCCTTAGGGAACACCATATGCTTCAGGGTGACAATGTTGTAAATTGTAAAACACTGCTATAAACATAAAAACTTAGATTAAGATTATATCACCAAATAATAATCCAGCTCATTTAAGAGTGAAATAAGTGATTCAGTATGTTTATGTAATTTTCACAAACGGGGAAGGAAGTTTGTACATGACCCTGTGTAATGATTTCTGCCATGCCGTAGAGCTATGGAATGAAGAGCTTCTGAATACAGTTTTGCTGCATTTTGCTTTGTTTTAAAGCATCATAAAATTCAAGGGCTTCTACAAACTGTTGAATTAACTCTTATTAGAAATGGTTCTTCTAGGAGAAAGAGGGCTCCCTTGCATCTCCTCAGCATGGGGTCACCTCCACTGATAACATATCATTTGTCACTTCATTTGCTTTCACAACATTGTGTTGCATGTCCAGACGTGTTGCTCCAGTGCAGTTACCTGGGAAGTTACTGAGCTGCATGTCCTCATGCTGGACATTTTGGTTGTATGCCTCTGACCTTGGAAATTCAGATCATGGGCAACGTCACTTTGCCAAAGGGGACACTTTGCTTTTATTTTTTAAGATTTTCTTAAGAACAAAGAGACTCCTTCTAACCACAGTGGGATGGGAAATGGCAGTGTTTGAGACATTTTTTTCATAGATTCAGACTCACATCATGATTCCTGTTTATTCATGCATATTTGTTGAATGCCCATTTTATAAGAGACAAAAAGGCATGGTCCTTCGTCTCAGTAAGCTTACACCCTAGTATCAAGAGACACACCTACATGTAAGGTAAATGCAACAGAGACAGTGATAACTGTTCTAAGGGATCAGTGAGTGAACAAACTATTAGGAGATGGAGCTCAATTTAAGTCATTAAATATTATCAAATTTTTATGTGTGACCAGGCCTTGAGATTGAGTGGTGAATAGGCATGACCCCTGCAAGGAGTGGTATAGGCTTACACATCAAAAACTTCAAAGAGAGACTTTAAGTACTACTAGAACTTTTCCTAGTGCACATGGTGGGAGTTAGGAAGAGACAGTGCATGTTCCATGGAAGAGGGGGCATTTAAACCAAATCTGTTCAAAGGCAGCTAATCAACTTTGAGCTCATTCCCAACGACATGAGGAGGCATGGAGATAAATAATGCCAGTCGTGTTTGGGAACAGCTTGACTGTAGTATGGAGTACAGGTCCAATAGTGTGGATACCCCTGAAGGCAATTTCAGGGGTCACTCCATGGGAGGTTTTAATTCAAGGATGAAAAATGAGGGACCAGAAGGAAG